CTCTCCTTTTTTTAGTTTCAACAAAAAATTAAAATAATAAAATTTTTGACTAAAATAATGAAAAATGTATAGCGTGTTTTTATAGGCACATTAAATTTACGATAGTTCACTATAGTTTTTTGCTCATTGTTCCGTTTAGCCGTTGGGTTATTAAAACTATGTAACCTTTACCTGGATATGATAATTAAAGTAGTATAACAAAAGAGAAATTTATTTTCGCATTCCACGACACCATTTTTTGTTTTCACGATAGTTCTTTGTGAATCGGACGAAATCGACCGCGCCCGAGCGCTGCATTGGAAGTGAATTGCGCAAATTGAAAAAATATTTTTTGTAAAAGCTAAGGGATGCCATCTGTAGCAGAGCAACTACCTGGGTCCCGTGGACCGGTTTGAAACAGATGCAGGCGTTGTTCGTATTCACGGAAAAAAACTTTTGACAAACTCGACGCTCGCAACTTTCGTATATCTCGGATAGCGTTTGAAAATAGAACACGTAACTTTTTAAATTATTAAATAATAACGAAAAAGCTCAAATCGCATGTATCCAGGCTACGGAAATCATTAAAAAAATATGGGTAATCGGTATTAGACACGAAATAATATGAGGCTGTTAGAAGCAGAATGGCCTAATAACAAAAGACATGATTTTCAATAAGGAAAATAAAAATGCGCAATTAACTTTGTCGAAAATGCATTTAATGTTAGTGCTCTTGTAAATTAACATTTTTAGACTATGAAAATATAACTCAAGTCATAAAAATTGGAGTTAGGCTACTCTGCCCAGGGCCTCATAAATGTTTGTCAAGAATACATTGTGGCCGATACGGCTACGCGTGTTTGCTCAGTCACATCTATATCTAATTAAGTATGAACTTTAACCGATATTGGTAGAAACTTGTCCCACGAAACTTCTGTTTGTATCGAGTCTTAGAGCACATTGCATGCAGCGCCGCTCCATTTAATATTACGGAAGTTGGAACGTGACGCGTGACTCGACTTTTTTTAACATCCGTAACGGATCTCGGGTTTCTCTTAAATGCTTTCGTTATTATATTTGTTATATCGATAGAATTATTGTTAACTCATAGTTGAATCATATTTGAAACTAAATCACGTACGACCGGTTGAAGAACTAATGTTTCCTATGAATTAACTACTTACTAATAACCCCATTGTGAGTTATAATATACTAGCGACCCGCCCCGGTTTCGCTCGGGTGCAGTGCTGATACTAAATGCACTACAAGTACTGTGAACATTGTATATAAAAACCGTCTTGAATCACTCTATCTATTAAAAATAGCATCAAAATCCATTGCGTAGTTTTAAAGATTACTTATATAGGGCAAGAAAAGGCGAGTTTCATTCATACTATTGTATTGTAGAAATTAAGAACATGTTATTAACGTTTGAAAACATTAATATTTTTCACATGTTATTGCACATAAAGGCACTATATAATTTAAAAATCGAAAATAAATTTAAAAAAAATTTTCGACTCGGGCAGGACTTGAACCGGCATCGTCAGCTTTCCGTGCTGTTGCTCTACCAATTATAGGACTCAGTAGCCAGTGGAACAACACACACCCCCCCCCCCGCTTCAAGTCCTGCCCGAGTCGAAAATTTTTTTCAATTTATTTATCGATTTTTAAACATGTTATTAAGTATTATGGTCGGACTTATCCGAAACAAATCTTAATTTTTTTTAATAACTTCAATACTTGTATATTCAGCGTATGTTCGGATGAAATTCGGTTTCGGTTAAAATCTATTGAACTGTGATTACTGATAGTATTCGTAGAGAACACGAGGTGTACAAATCACAATGGGAACAGCGTGGCGTGTTATCGTTTTCATTCAATCGACATTGAGGTTCGTAATTATAATTATTATATCCGTTTATACCGACAGCATTATTGTGGTGGGTGTGACGTAGTGAACTGGATTAAAATAGATGTTATTAAACGTCAAACAAATTCTGTACGCAATTACACCCAGAGGAGTAGAAAATTTCCCGCATACTAGTTTGTAATTATTAATCTAAACTATTATGAAACTGAAGAGTTACGCGCTCATCTGGATCGTTCCTGAGATGACGCGGGAAAGGTGAAAAAGACAGGGAAAATTTTCACAAAAAATGTCCGCGACCATATTAACTTTAAAGATAGCTATAATTTATAAAGACGAGGTGGTTTTCAAAAAACTAATTTTATTGCCAAAAATAACTATTCTACGCAGACGAAGCTGGCACAGCTAGGGAATAAAAATACATTTATAATTGTTCATTGTTACAAATCTCGTCAACTTGTGAATGGATTATGACTATACTGTCTCACGTATTTCCGGTCGAATTTCGACCACGAGGTTTATGACAGTCTATATAGATACTGACGCTATTAGTGAGACAGTTGTGACGTCTCAACTGATATTAATTATATCACTCTCGCTTCTAGTTAACAGCAATTAGCTAATGCGTGACATAATATGGTATTAGTGCCCTCTATTGATTGATGATCGTAAACAAACTAATTACAAACATTAATAACTAGCTTGTACCGTGTTTACGTAGGAAGAAGTTATTTTATGAAATGGCAAGTGTTATTTCTAAATTAATAACAACTGGCAATCTTTTATAGTAGAACAGAGATGCTTGCACAGATTCTATCCCCACCGGGTACAACATTAAAAATATATAATTCTGAAACATGGCGGACTTAATTAGGAAAATAAATCTTCCACCCGGGTCACGGGTTTCAGTCTATAGATTTCCGTATATCCAAAGCGAAAATAGGTCGAACAGCGCATCTTGTTAAGATGTTATATGGCTGGAGTTCACGTACCATTAAGTGAACGAAATGCTTCTCTATAATCCTCAAACATAAAAAAGATGCATTTTAAAATGTAGAGATCCCTTCGTTCGTCAGTTGCAAAATGACTAAACGCGCACTTGTACGAATTATAAGGTGAAACAGCCAAGCACTTCACTTTTGCGGCGACAATTATGGGGTTAGCACACATACGGTCCCCCACATATGAGTGTAACGGAATAACACCGTTACAGCGTTGATGGCTTATACAGCGTGTTCACTGTTACCTATACAGCCCAACAGAAGTATTAAAACGAAAATAAAATTACAATGTCAATAATTTATCTGAAACAGGTTATATTTTTTTTAACTAACATCCCAAACACGAAAAAATGTGAAGTTTAATCGCATTTCTGTTTCAGTCTGTGGCTTTCCAAATGTGGAAAATAGTTCGACAAAGATTGTTTAGATGTTAGATGCTTGGCATATTTCATTTTCCATAAAATGTCCCCATTATTAATAAAAGAAATATGCAAAGAAATGGGGGTTAGAAATAATAATAATTGAATAGGTATTATGTTTTTATAGATTTTTTTATTTTTTTCTGTCATGTACTAGTGGATGGAATTATTAAACTGTTTTTAAGTACTGTTCTTTCCCCTTTTTCTTGATTTCGAAGAAATGTCGTTAAAAAGTGTCGATTTATTTGGTGCAAATCGTAAGAGGAAAGTTATCCTCACATACCGGAGTTTGCGTGTAAAATGTACACCGGATCGTCACGGCCCATTTCACATCTGGCCTCCATTCAGATGAAATAAAAGTAAACCAATGTTATTGAAACATGCACTATGAAAAAAGCATTACAATTATTCATGTTGCTTAAAAAAGTTGGATATACGCTATTCTGAAACCTATGATTTATAGACTTAGCGTCGCTCATACTTTGATATTAGCGTGACATACGACCAAACGATTCTAACAGAGCAGATACGACCCTATTAGTGAATGAGAGAGAATGATAACTAATACAGATGGAATGCGCGCGCATTTTTCAGGACAACTTGTTGAAGGAGTTACCCTCACCACATCACGCCCTCAATCTGTAATATAAATTGTAAAAAAATAATCGTTAATCCTTCATAAGCGAACAAGGGGCGATGTTTAGTTCGAAAAATTCATTGTAGCTAGCATTTTAAGCGTCATATAGTAAGAAGTTATAATAATATGTAAGACAAAATGGAAGCGCAATGCGGATATAACTATCGAACAAAATTGGCACCGATATTCGAATTTCGAACACAAAATGTAATAAAGCGGTTATCCGATAACGATACTGTTTACAAATATCATATTATGATTGCGCAGAGTAAATAAAACGTTCGAGTGATTTTCTCACGTTCCGCAGATAATAATTACAAATATCAATATGCGTAAAACGTGAATTTTATTATATTGGCCCACGAAGCCGAGAGGCCCGGCGAGGAGATCTGGTCATTGGCACGACGCGAGGTCTTCGTCCGCGCCCTCTCGTGGCAATAACTGACCTAACACTAGACGCACCTTCACCGCAATCGAGGGTCGCATGCACCTGGCTCGACGGCCGAGGCCGAGCCGACGCTACTTTTTGTACGGTAATGTTAGCTATCTGACTACAAGTTTATTTTAATAGTGCATGCGCAGATGGCGCGAGCGCAGGGACTAAGCTCGCTGTAGACAATTGTGCACCCAATGGTGATACACACATGGTGCATTGAGCTTTAAACCACTCCCTGGCCCCGAGTTGTAAACAAACCGGGCGAGGGCAATGGCTGCCCGCCACTCCCCGCGCCCGCCGCACCGGCGACGCCATTCAACCGGGAAGTTCACGCTTTATTTTTAGCATTTCACGAAACGAACAACGCCGCACTGTAACGGAGTTCGCATGGAATCGACGCTCAATTCTTACTTCCTACAAACGGGAGGCCTCCCACCAACCAAAAACCCAGTCTACCGTTTGTACTCATTAACAAGTACAAATGAACTGGACAAGACGTCCATCTTGCTACAAGAGCTTTAATGACATTTAAATTTCAAAAATTTTTGAAGGAACGACCGTTGATGTGGGTTCAAAAAAAAGCTATCTATATAATTCCAAGTCCAGGTGTGCATGTGTATAGGGGTCAATGGCCTTTGCCGCGTAAGCGAAGTTTCACTTAGACTGCGATCGAAAGCAACATGGTATTGGAGAAATGGTTTGGACCGTTACGTTCAAACAACGGCATTGACATTGGACATATAATAGACAGGCGAGGCGCGGCTAGGCCAAGAGCGTAGTACCGTTTCCGGGAATTGTCTTCGGCAATGTTGGCAGTGACGGTTATGGTAGCGACAGCGGACAGGCCTGAGTCAATGACCCGAGTACAGGAGGGTGCGCGCGCACGCAGCGGTGCCCCGCCTTTATTTATTACGCTACGCGCGGCGCGTTCGACGCCGGCAACGCGCCGCGGGGCGGAGGCCGCATTCCGGGCGGCCGCTCGTAATCCAACGCATGCTAAAATAACATGCCCGAAACCGTACCAGATCGACAGACGTCAGCGGCGAGTCACACTTAAAATAAGCCAAGAAAATTACTCACTTTCAGGATAGAGCACGTGCGTTAACCTCGCGGAGCACTGCCACAAAAGTCTATCAGCATCACCAAAATCACTGTCCATGTTGAATAATTTGAATGAATTAAATTGTTATAAGCGTCCAATGGTTGATAAACGTTGGAATCGACACGAGATGTTCACATGGCGCGCGGGAAGTGTTATCCGAGTGGATGGAATATGCGTCGTCTTCGAGAGCGGTATGACGCATCAGTGAGCGCGCGGCGCGATCGTACGTGTGCGCAAGCATAAGGGCGGCGGAGTGTATGAGGGGCAGGGAAGTCTCCCCCTCCCCGCAACCTCCGCACCCGCCACTGTGCTGCCCCCTACACCGGGCTCATCGACCGCGCTCGCCCTCAACGCGCCACGGTATTCCGTCCATGCCGCTCTGCCTTAAACTTACCAGAAGTATTCGTCCTTATTCCCCAAAATATTTTTTGGCTATCATTGATTTCGTCAAACGTCTACGTTCAATGTAATATTTTCTCTGTACCTGTATGTACTGTACACACCAATCCGCGAAAGTACTGCATCGATCTTAAGTACTACACGGTTTTCTCTAATACATTAAGCTGAGCTAAGCGTAACAGAGGCTTTGTTTAATTGAATTCGCTTGCCAGTGGCAAAAGTTAGTCAATGGAATTGTATCCCCCACGGATAGCTTAGAAGATAGAGTTCAAAACGTAATAAACAAATGTTCAATTGATAAAAAGATTACCTATTTTTGTAAACGCTATATTTCGTTTTAATTTGACAAATACACATTAATAATAAAAAAATACCTACTTACATGGCTAAAGCTTTGCTGCTCGTCTTAAAAAAGTGGTTTATGGGACGAACACATTTTTGGAGCCGTTTCACTGAGCAGTTTTATTTACACGCGAGTAGTTGATGAGATGTCTGTATCCTGCCCGTCTGAAACAGTAAACGCCTTCCCTGGATTTCGAATCCAGGACCTCTGGTGTTTACGCAATGCTATGCAACACGGTTAACCATTTAGTTACAGAAGCGGTCACTGCCTCTGATAAACTACTCCTACCAAAAATTGGTCTACGCACCCACTATGCTTCAACCAGAATTTACACCCACTAATTACCTACGTGGTAGGTGTTATTGCCAATTCAATGAACTATTTTTTGTGGACCGCTCGCTAAAAACGATGAGTCACGCCATGAACCGTAATCTCTTTACTTTGTAGACGATAGTAAGAAATTTTAAGGATTTTCAATTCTAAGGACATCGTGTGCAAATCTTTTCAAATATAAAACATTTGAATAGTTTAATATTTGTTACATGTTAATGCACATGTGACAAATTTGTTGACAATTTTTTTTTTTTTATTAAATCAATATGCTTCATTCAAGTCATTTCTTATTCAGCTCTTAGATTATACAGCACATGTAGATCATACAATATACAGAAATTAATAAGCTACGCTGAATTTTAATTTATATAGCTCCTTAGAAAGCTCCATTTTATATAAAAAAGATATAAGTAAATCATTTAAATACGCGTGAAGTAAAGTCAGTAGTTTACATTAGTAGTGCACAGGATAAAACATTTTTAGCCTATGAGCCCCGTGACCACGACTACAGTAATGCCTCCGATACGTCGGGTCCTTGTTAAAATAAGTTAACCTACATATGTCGCGTTTTAAACCGTTTAAAGTTAAATTAAGTACATGCTGCTAAAACTAACGCTCTAGGACTTAAGAGTCATCATCGCACACACGAGTATATAAATTTTGGTTTGTTTTTCGCGATTGCACTATCAAACAATCTATACAACCAAATGATACAGAGCACATTCCAGTCCAGAGTTCTAAAAGGACCTATTTAATTAGTTACAAACCAACATACAATACAATTATATGCCTTAACACAGTGAAAACAATAAAATAAAATTAGGTATAAAAACATCAAATTCCGCTACCGTGGACACAGGTCTGCCTGGGAATCGCTCTCCGGAATTCTTTAACCTGATCCACCATCATGATCCATTATAATATATGGAAGAAATTACATTTATTTCAACGACTACCACCACCACCACCTAAGCGAATTTGACGGGCAGTATGGCTAATAATGAACGGGTTGCGGGTCGCTCCCCACCGGGTTCAACATTTTTCAATTTATAATTTTTCTGAAACACGTTTGACTTCGTCTCCGCTTTTGCTTAAAATTGACTGTACCATGCGTCAGGGCTTAATACGTAAGATCAAATCAAAAAAAAAAGCAAGATGGCGGTCGCGCTAACTTCAATCCGGCCAAAACGTTTGATGAGGACTGTACTCGGAGTGGAAATAGCTCAAATATAATCTAGAATTGTGAAACATTTAGCGTGGCTGAGAATATCGCCGTCAGTTCGAGTAGTTATTACACGAGTAGACGTACGACGCCTACTCCTGCATTCAAAAATAGTTGCGCGGGCACCGACAGTGAGTCAGCACAGACAATGTTGGTGTCCCCGCGTCCACAACACGTCACTTATAAAGCTAACTGTCTCCCGCGACCTTACGTGTTTCAGCGGGACATTTTATTATAGAGCAGGACAGACAAGGATGCAGTTCAATTATTTAACATCTAAAAAAGATTATATTGGGAAATCCACAGACTGAATCCGAAACTTAGATAATTTTAACGAATATATTTGCCGTTTTAAACCGTTAAAGTCTTTTGTTTAAATATTAAATTATTCCTCATACACGAGTAGCTCTGTCCTGTAACTAGAGTATCGAATAACGCTTACTTTATACTATCGGAATACAATTATAAACCTAACTAATTGTGTCCCGCCGCCCGCGACCTTACGTGTTTCAGCAGGACATTTTTATAATAGAGGAGGACAACATGGGATTCAATGGAGGATAGGTAAAATATCCCAGTTGCAAAACATGTAAGATCAGATGGGCTGTCGGCCTATTTTAGTTTTAGATATTCGGAAACTCACACACTGAAACCGAAACGCGATTAAACTCCGCGGCTTTTTCATCTGTGGACGGTGGTTCGTGACCAGGACGGAATTTCGATCTAATACCGTGAGGAAAATATCAATTCTACTATAATCACTTGGCAATGCCTCTATATAGGCATTTTCTTCTTAAAATTTATCACATCGGTTAAAATTGTGAAGCTAAAATCGAACTAAGCTAACTTATAAGTAAAGATTAACTTATGCCAAGAACAGTAAAAGATACACATTATTTTGTGACTCGGAATTAATAATTATTAGTTTCACTCCCACAAATGACTATGCAGCTACACTGGAATTAGTAGAAATATTTACTGAATATTACATTACAGTGGTACCTATCACAATGTATCCGAAGAAGAAATACGTACCATAACATAAATACAAAATAAATAGTCATTTCTATAATAGTTTCGTTCAAAATAATTTGTTGATTGATTTTTTGCTGACTCTACTATTTTATTGCCCGTACTACAATGTTATAAAACCAACCTTCCAATAAATACTGTCTATAGTTTACGCGAGTAGTACACATTTAAATAAAACATTTTAACGGTTTAAAACGCGATATATTAGTTAAACTTATTTGAAACTGATTTTTAACTTCGGGGGAGACTGTAGGTAGTCTCCCCGTGACCACAACTGCTGCAAAGCATCCGAAACGTCAGGCCGAAGTTAAAAATCATTTTCAAATAAGTTTAACTAACATATCGCGTTTTAAACCGTTAAAGTGTTTTATTTGAACTATATAAAATATTTTCAAAATTAAAAAGACCCACAGGCTCTCCTCTGTTTTTTAATCCATGTACCGATATTAAGGGCAATAATAAAACGCACAAATATTGCATTGATGTAGAATTGTTTGGCATCTTGCCTGTATCTCATTCTTGGGTGCGTTTACCTCAACTGCTTAAATTAAGATTTTTAAACGGACCACATTCCTTTACCAAGAGCGATAACAAACCAAATATTCACATTTTGAAAAACCGGTTCTTTGTCTGACCAAAGAGTAGATGGAAATACTAAGACAACAATATTATGGGGCTAGTATTAATACTAGACTATTTGCCTCTTATTTAGATAATCGTTGAGGTCTTTGCCTCCTTTATGGTACATATATGTCTGGACTAGCTGACCTGGCCAACATTCTTTTGCCATGAAGTATTTCGACGAAATATGATTACAATAAAAACGGTTCTTAAAATCTTAAAAAATGGTCATATTCCTACTGTTGCATACAATTTTTTTAGATTTTGTTATATAAGAATGATTCTTTCGTACATTTTTTTTGTCATCTTTTAGTATAGTTTAGCATTCTAATTGTCGCAATCGGTTTTATAGTCTAAACCCTTTCTCTATAAACAATCCAATCAACAGAAAATAAATCTTCAACTCGATCCAGTAGTTCCTAAGATTAGCGCGTTCAAACAAACAAATGTCCTTAGCTTTATAATATTTGTAAATTTTTATTTAAGTATATATAAACAATTTAAACTTTTGTTTGTGTTTCCATAATTTTGTATTTTTTTTTTCACTTTTTTAGTACTTATTATATCGCCTGTAAATGCAAAATCGCTTTAAGATATATTAATAAATATTCTATTTATAGTTCAAAAGGGTAAACTGCGCAGTTTACCATAATTGCTGCAGTCATTTGCAATTAAACTCGAATTATTATTCTCAACAAGATTTTGAGGAAGTTATGAAATTAAAATTAGACTAGTAACGGTTTGAAACTCGGAATTTATTCGTTATCTTTTTTTAAATTTATTAACTACTACCCTACTACGTTTCACCCCGTAAAAAGAGTTTAATTTAAGTGTGTATTACTTGCGTAAACTACAGACGATATTTAAGTTGTGACATATAATTTTTTAGATTGTAATGATAAGATTATTGATTTGATTAGATAGCCTTTCGTGTTTTTTACACTATATTACATATAAGTAACACACTACGAGTTCCTCCATATAACGTTTGACTCAGACGCACTGTCCCATTTTTTGACAGAGGACAAACAAGGATGAGGGTTGATCGAAGCTCAAATAACATTTTAACAAGATGCACAGACGACTTATTTAAGCCTTATTTGGCTG